CACAGACAAGGTCATCATAAAACTGGACAGATAATTTTTTTATATTATCAGATAGTACTAGGCATGGCTGCCGGTGCCCGGGACGACGAGAGGTTACTTGTAGACTTGGGGAGGCCGCAACCTGCAATCTGGGCTGCTGACCACGGGCTTACTCTTGCAGTATCTTAGTTCTTGGAGCAAGGCTGTTTTTGAATTTATTTGCTGGTCGAAATTGGGTAGAGTTGAACAGCATGGTACTGCTTTCAGGTAGCAGCTCCCAAACCTGCGAATGCAGCGGGTGAGAGACAAGACAGCGACGCGGATCATTGGCGAAGTTGCCAGACCCAGAGTTCTTGCTGTAGATGCGCTTTCGAAGCAGGCATGGCAGGAATGCTGCGGAAAGGAGCTGCGAGCTTTGGGGAGCCAAGGGCGATAAACAGTTGGGCAGAGCGGTTCACATTCATCCATCCGACCGCCGGTCGCAAGACCTGGCTAGTGGCGAGGCCTTCATCATGGGGCGCTTCGTTTGCCATGGGCTGCTGGGTCTGCTGTCATTTCGAACCTCCAAAATACCGATCAACCTTCGGGCGGCTCGAAGTTGCTTCAAGGACCTTTGCCATGCATCAAGAAAGTTTTCTCGTAGCAGTATGGCCTATATGTTTGGATGGACTTCGGTGAACAAAGGAATACACTTGGACCATCTTCGTTTGCAAAGCATGAAGCCAGTGCGTCACATCTGAAAGCATTGGAGGCAATGAAAAATCACTTCAGCGGCGAGCCCGCTGATGAGGGACTGCTTACTGGAGTTTCGGAAGCTGTGCCCCGCATCGACAGGTTCTTCATGGCAGGGCTCGTCGTGGCACGCCATGACTCTTTTGCCGATTACACTGAGTACATGAGATCTTTGCGCTTGGTTTCCCCCTTGCCGATGGGAGAACAGGCTGGCGACATCAGCAAACAGACCTGTGCAAGGTTGGTGGTATCGATGGCGCGACCTTTGTACGATCACGACGTTGCTGTGCTGAGAAAGTCGACCATGGCGTCCATAGCCTATGACGTCAGGGACGACCTGATGTTAGTCATAGGAAGAGTGTTCTTTGAAGGATTGAATAGTCCCCATCTTCCGCGTGTTGGGGTGTACGAGTTCCTGGTCGGTTGTCAGCGCGTGGGCGGGACTGGTGGATCTCGTGGAAGCGCGGCATCAGTGGAAAGAATCTGCAAGGACCTTTGCCGAACACCTCATGGCAGGGAGCTACGCTTGGATGAAGATCTTTGGGCACACTTTCAGGCAGGAGGGAATCAAACGCACGCAGACGATCCAGTCAAATGTAGCAGGTATCAACATTATAGAATCTAAGAAGGCAGACTTCATTAAGGAGCGTTTGCTGGTACTTTGGCAGGCGATTGTCACAAGTGGAGTCTCCGACGGAGGCCCCAGCGAGCAGGGAGCACTACCCATCTTGCAGAGCCTCGGTTTTGCGTTCTTGGGCACTTGCCTATCCAAGTTGTAGATCAGATGACCGACTTCTTGAACCCAAACTAAAAGCACCCGCTCTGGCCAGGAACGAAGTCTTCAGCAACATGAACCTCATCTCCCGGGATCGGGCTCACCGGTCCAGGAGCGTCATAAAGAATTTGTTCGACGCCCTCAACAGCTTGTGTGACAATCTTTTGTCTGCCTTTACAACGGGCGAGCAATCCTTGGCGAGGATGTTGAAGAGCCTAGCTTGCAGCTAGCATACTGTAGTATGCCATGCAAGCCTCCCCATTTCTAAGCGTTCTCAGTGAATTCTCTGACCGTTTAGTACTGTGCCAGGAACTCAGCCAAATACTCCAACATCTTTCAGGCGGAGCAAGCCCAGTCTTTTCGCAAAGCGGTCAAGAATATGTCCTTCGCTTTGCAAAGGTTCGACTCGCTGTCCGAGCCACTTTTCAAAATTTTTCTCCATTTCCCATCAGTCCTGCGCTTTCTGGGGGCTCTCACAAGAGACGGCGACCCGGAGGATGCACGCTGGTCAAGAAGGCTATTGACGCAGGTCACGGGCCTGCAGGGCTTTCGAAAGCTGATGACGGCAGCTCTGGCATCTGATGCTTTGATGATGGCTCAACGTTTTCTTCGGCAGGATGATCGTGCGGACACGGAAGTGTTCTTGAAGCTTGGGGAGGCCAGGTATACAACAAAGCTTGAAGGCTCGTGGGTGGTAGCAGTACTTACTTCGTGTAGCGTAATGCAGGTGCTGGAGCTTTTGCACAGCGTGGAGATCATGTTTGCCGACCACTGCATTTTTGATGCTGTTCAAGCACCTGACACTGTGACACAACGAACTCTGCGCATGTTGAACGAGCTGGGTACCATCCCTTTTCGGGAAGGGGGCAAGGACCGAGTCTGCAGCATTCCAGTCGGCGAGACTGCGGAGCTCCATGATGTGGCGAAGCAGATACATGAGCTTTTTTCAGCTTTCGTGAATACGAACTTTCCAGGTTATGAACAAATGAACGCCTTTGCAGCCTTGCGACTGGATAGAACGCTTTCGTGGAAGCAGCGTCAAACGCTGATGTCGACACTTGCAATGTTGTTACAATGTTCAGCAGAGGACCTATGGCAGCTTAGCGTGATTCATTGTGCGGTTTCGGGCAAAGGGGTGTGGATTTCGAGTTCGGGCTTGGGGCTTCTTGGCCAAACTTTTGTTTAATTTGCGGCCGAGGAAGCAATTGGTTGGACCTTCAACGGCCGCAGGCTCCGAACCCTCATCAGGCATCTTCGCAAGGGCGCTGTGGTTCTTTAAGAACTTTGCTACGGCTGGCAATGTTCCCGGGATGCAGCGCATGCTGGACCAGTACGGCGCTTCGTCTGCGGCCTGGATCCGTACTCTGGGAGACATGACACCGCAGCAACGGCGAGATCGACCACTCGCTGTCCAGCTTATCATCAAGGCGCTGACGGTGCAGTGCGGCACCCAAAGCGTGGAGCGGTACCTGGGCGAGGTGCGTTTGGCAGAGCTGAAGCACCGCGCACGAGCCCTCGGAGCTGACACTTTAGAATCATCCGTGAAGCTGAATGTGCAGGATTTCACTGGCCGTCAACCAGGAAAAGCGTTTAATCCCGATTCGCTCTTCCGCTCAGCTGCTGAGAGTATTGAGAAAGGCGTTCGGTATAGAGCAAGCAACTTTGGCTTGCAATGCCAAAACGCCTATCGACGGCTCTATGGCGAGAAGCAAGACCCCGGCAGAAGTCTTCTTCCATCAAGTGCCCGGGGTTCAGATCATCATGAGGGCAAACCCAAACTCACTCGGGTGCGTAAGACTGCTGGACCTGCGATGGAAACTCTCAAGCAGGCAAAAGACATGCATACCAAGTCGGTGAGCCAAGCTGTCGCAGCTGCTAGCAAAGACACATCTGCTGCTTTGGGAGCCGTGGTTCAGGCACATGCGGATGTTGCAAGGGCCAGGTTGGATGCAAGCACGAGTGCAAGCAGCAAGCGCGCGCAACCAGATGATGGGTTGGATGTGAGCACTGCGCCACCTGAGACCCCTGCCCAATGACATAATATTATTTTAAGTTTTGAAGTTCTCTTGCAGTGTGTCGGATTTGCTGCAGTCTTGGAAGTAGATGAACCATTATTTATGGTTTTCTAAGTTTGGCTAGCTGGGGTCAGGAAGAAACTGTGTACTGTCGGCGACATCTTGAATGAGCAGTCTGCTTTGCAGCAGAAGAACCGTCAGTTGGTGCAGAGTTTGCCTTCTCAGGAGCCAGTGCCTTATGTCGATGGTGCTGGTCGGCAGTACAGGTATAAACTTCCATCTGCTCCGAAAACCAGTCTCCTGGCTCCGCCGCTTCCAGAGAAAATTCGCTTCATCTGCGATGCCGCTGTTCGTTTGCCAGTGTGGCGCCGGTATATTCTGGCCGGCTCTGCCGAAGATGCCCATGCAGCACTGGTGGAGGATCTGTCCGCTTCCTTGTACAGCCCAGTGGCTCTGCTGGCAAGGTTGCACGGATTGCGGCTTGTGGACAAAGTGTGGGTCAGATCCAAGATGAGAGAAGGCAATGCCCTGTGCTTTGGACCCGCGCTCCAGATGCATTTATATCTCTATCTTGCTGATTCTTTCTTTGAGAAGCATCCTGAGCATGCCTCTATCTTGATGGCGCATGGTGCTCAGCAGCGCTTGGTGGTTCGGAGAGGCATCCCTCCATCGCCGCCGAGACATCCGAGGCTGACGTTTCTTGTTACTGCTGCGTCTGCATCCAGCAGCAGCAGCAGTGCAATTGCAGAGCTTGATCTGGAAGCTTTGCTTGAGAAGTTGACCTCGCTGATGCAGCCACGCTCCGCCGAGTGAGCAGTTCAGTTGCAGAGCTTGATCTGGAAGCTTTGCTGATGCAGCCGCGCTCCCCATCGAGCAGTTCAGTTGCAGAGCTTGATCTGGAGGCTTTGCTGATGCAGCCGCGCTCCCCGTCGAGCAGTTCAGTTGCAGAGCTTGATCTGGAAGCTTTGCTGATGCAGCCGCGCTCCCCATCGAGCAGTTCGGTTGCAGAGCTTGATCTGGAAGCTTGGCTAATGCAGCCGCGCTCACCCATCGAGCAGTTCAGTTGCAGAGCTCGATTTGGAAGCTTTGCTTTAGAAGTTGAGCTCGCTGATGCAGCCACGCTCCGCCGAGTGAAAGCTTAAAAAGCAGTCTCCAGAGCGGTGCAATGCAAGTGACGACCCAGACCTGTTGTGTCTAGCTATCTCGCGTTCTGTGTTGCCGAGGCCTGGCCATCTCCTCTGGCTGGAGCAGCAGCAGCAGCAGCAGCTGCGGCAGCTGCAGAAGCAACATTGCTATTAACCTATAAGTAGGAAGTAAATAAGTAATAAGGGATAAACGGAGAAAAAAGTTAAACCTGTTGGCCCCCCCCAGAAGAACACCAAGAATTTATGTCGACCGACCCTAAATCCTAAACCGTGGTCTTAGGCTGCCTTCTCTTCTGTTTTGCTTCATTCATGTGGACCGGCAGTAAGAAGAACTGTGGTTTTCAAAGTTTGCAGGAGTCGGTCGGGCGTGGAGCCTGTGGCTGGTGCGTGGCTGCGCTATGCGGTGCCGTGGCGGCAACTTGTAATGTTGGTATATAGGATTCTGACTAGTTAGTACTGCTGTGTCCCCCAACGTTGAACCCTTCCTAGAAGTCTTGACCACGCCTCTTCGTCTAAAAGAACCCATGCACCTCCTAAGTATAAGTACCTCTTTCGTACGTGATTGAACCTTAGAGGAACTAAAGCAGGACAGGACCAGTAGGGGCCCTATATGTCCCCAAAGCAAAGCCCTTAAAACCCCAGTAGACAGAACTTTAAAGGAACCCCTTGACGAACCCTTTACTTCAACTCGGAAGACCCTTCGGGTCAGGCGCAATGGCGTCAAGAGAGAGATACGGCAGCTGCTGCGAGCATGGAAGCATCGGAGACCTGGTTTCCATGTACTGTAGTTCAAAGCCCCCAAAACCAAAAGGATCCATGTAATGCAGGGACCTTGATAATTCGAATAGGAGTTTGGGGATTCCTCATTAAGTATAGTATAACATACCCCGAAACCCGATTCTAAACATTAAGGCCACTGCGTTGCTCTTGGGGTTCCTTCAAGGGCGTCGTTCAAGGGCTTTTTAACGTTGGCTTATTTCAAGAAGGCCTGACTAAACCCTACAAGCCCTTAACCCATCGTTTTGGCATAGCCCAACCTTCTGATGTTTGTTTCGGTGCTTGTCGAGGCTCCTCTCAAAGCCCAGAGACTCCCCGACTTTGCCGTATAATCTATATGCAGTGTAAGCTTGTTCTGGGTGTCCTACAACCCTAATGCCTGGGACCCCAGGGTTCACGGGCCCGAAAGCCCGAAAGCCCTAAGCCGTATACCCTTGCCTCCACCCCGAAGAACCTTCCTTTTTAGGGCTCCTTATCATGGTTGCCTTATATTATAAGTCCTTAAGTAGGCTATTCCGGGTTAAGGTAGGCCCTAAGCCCGAAACCGGTGGCACATTGGTTTGAAGGAGAGGGAAGAGCTGGAAGCCTCTGAGCTTTTCGCACAAGTGCCCCAATGCAGTGCTTGGGTAATATCCTACGGTTGGTCATATAAATCCTGCATTACTCATACTATAAGGAATGTACCATAGTTCCCATAGTCTAGGGTCATCAAGGTAATGCAGGAGGTATATCATCAACCGTAGTAGTAGGGTAGGCAGCCTTTAAGCTTTTTGGGGCACGATGCTCCCGGAAATATAATCCCAATATACTCCCAGAGATTAACCTTTAGATCTCTAGGACTCGTAGAGGGCCTTTAAGGAACGCTTTAAAGGGAACCTCCACGATAGTATTGTTACCAATTTAGGACTCTAGAAGCTTGAGCCAACCCCGACATCATTGCTTCATACTCAGGGTCCCTTAATATCAATATGGGAGTTTCCGAAAATAGGGGACCCTAATATAGTACCCTAAATAGTGGGATCCTTACTATAAGGACCCAAAAGAAGGTACCCTTAATTTCCGGAAGCTCCCATATACTACATAATGTCCACCGAAGTTGGCCGTTTTTGCGGCTGTACGAGAATATTCCTGTTTAGTCTCCACGAAGGCGTCTAAGCCTGGTCTTCACGGTCTTGGGCTTTGCGTTTCTTTCAAAAGGTGTGACCCTAAGACTCCGTGTACCCATCTAGTAGGTACTTAGGCCTTACAGCACCCATCCAGGGACCTCTTTAAGTCTTAAATACCTACCCCTAAGGGTCCATGTGCCTAAATAGTATATACATTGGCCTTAAAGTAGTCCCTATATAGGTACATTGGGGCCAATTGTATATGCTATTTGGGCACATGGACCCTTAGGGTACTATATGGGTACATGGAGCCTTTGGGGGGACTCGGCAGTTAAAGACTTTAAGGTTTAGGGGTTCAGGGTTACTTATCGGGTCGAGGGACTTAGCAACTCGGGTTATAATTAAGGTAATTATACATATAATTACTTATAACCCCAATTAAGGAACTTATAACTCTACTTACTAAGTTCCATGATCCTCCAAGTAACGGTTTAGGCTTGAAGGCGCTTCTCCGATTCTTTACAAGTGGCTCTACACCACAACTTTCTGGTTCTTTGAATGGGGGATGGATCCCTATAGTAGCCCCTATATAATCCCCGATAGCCAATATCCAGCCCCCCATTCCCTACTAAGAACCATACGGACAAACCCTGAAGGTACTTGATGGCAACTTGCTGTGACAGGCCGGCATCATCACCGACTTGGGCAGGGAGGCGCGAAAATTCCGAAACCCAAAGCCCTGAGCCCTAAACCCTACCTAGACCCAAATAACCCACCGTTTTAGGTTCCCTGATGTGATTTCTTTACATAAGTCCTGAAAGAGGTATGTAGGTTATTTGGGGTTAAGGTAAGCAACCTAAACCCCCAAACCCGACACCCTAAGCCCTAAACCCTGAACCCTAAGCCCTGAACCCCAAGCCGTAAGCCTTGAATCCTAAACCTTATAATAACTGAAACCCTAAGAAAGTGCACTGCTGAACCCTCTAATCGAGGCAGCTGCAGACCCTGCATTAAAGCACACATGTATTTCCGTTGTCCTGAAGCTAAACGCCGTCGAGCCTTAAACCCTAAGGCCCCAAACCCGAACTCCGGGTATTCCTTAGCACTAAACTCAGAGGGCTTGAGGATGTTGGTACTAAACCTCTTCACGGTTTCAATCACGGGACCTTACCCGACGAAGTCACGACTTGTAAAGCCCGCAGCGGTCGTCAAGTTCCATGGACGATACCATACAGCGGTTTCGCACTGTCGCCGGTCTCTGGAGATGATTGAGCATTTGTTGCTCCAACAACTTTTGTGTGCTTCATCCTCTCTCAGAGATGAGCACGAGATCGAACTTCAATTCGAACAGGGGACATGCCCTACCAAGGGCAGTGTCGGCGCATCGCCATCGCCATCCTCACGAGGAGATGGACTACCCTGAATCCCGCCTACAGGTCGTCCAGCATGCAGCAGCCTCTCGCAGGCGGACGAGACGTTCGAACGACGTTCGAACCTGGCAAGCATTACCTGGCTCCGTTTTTTGGTGGTGCCTGCTGGCGAAGCGGTCGCGTGGGTCGCGGAGTGAAGAAAACAGAGGTCGGTCCCTTTGTCGAGCCGACGTTTCACTGTGGAGATACAGAGCCTTGCTCGCAGTCTCCATCCAGGTGAATGAAAAGACTCCAAATTGCCTATTTAGGCTCAGGAGTTAGGTTTTAATTCGCTGGATGTTGTCAATAGCTGCACTTTGATTCCTGGGGCGTCCCAGATTTCAGAATTTCAGAATTAAAGCAGAGCAGCCTTTCACTTTCTTGGGCTGTTGCATAAGCGAGTTCATACAAGTGATATGCCCCGAAGGTCACAGAGCTTTAATCCTTTCCCCCTAATATTAAACGGAAGGGGGGGGGCAATAGAATCTCGGAAAGTGTTTTTATTAGTAGGTGGTGGTTTTATCTCTACTGCCACTTTTAAGTGCTCTTGCTCTTACTCCTGCGCAGGCGTTTGCTCCTGCTCCTGCTGCGTTTCTTGCTCTCGCTCCTGCGCCTGCTCTTGCTCTTGCTCCTGCTCTTCTTGCTATTGCTCTTGCTTTCGTTTTTGCTCTTACTCCAGCTCTTGCTCTCGCTCCTGCTCTCGCTCCGGACCCCCTAATGCAAATTAGGTTTTAAATGGCAGAGGTGATTTCGGCAGGATTCGCCCCAATGTGTGTTTATTATTAGGGGGTGTTTAATAAAGGGTGAAGTGGTTAACCCGTAACCACAACACACCAGCACCCCAAAGCCCCTCCTACCCTCTAAGCCTTCACAAAACCTTGGGAAACCCTTCTGAAGGTTGAAGCTCAAGACCACTACCCTGGATGTTTTCTAGTCATACGTATATTCTTCAAATTATTACTTGCATGCATTCGAATTGTTGCGGCCCCTACCCTATGGGGGTCCATGTACCCACATACACCATAATTTTTGGCTACAAAAATACCGAGAGAGGGACTACTTTCATGCCAAAGCACAAACTATGTGAGTAACATCGAAGCTTATCATACTATGAGATACCTAAGATGCCCTATTCTGATTGTTAACCAAAGCTTATACTAACTGAATACAGGAACCCTAATCCCTAAACCCTAGTCCCGCAACCCTAAACCCTTAATCTTTAAACCCTAAAGCCAAAAACCCTAAGGCTAAACCCCTAAACCCTAAAACCCTAAGGCTAAACCCCTAAACCCTAAAACGCTAAGGCTAAACCCCTAAACCCTAAACCCTAAAACCCTAAGGCTAAACCCCTAAACCCTATAAGCCCTAAACCCTATAAGGCTAAACCCTAAGGCTAGAGTAGATTCAGAGGCCTCCACAGCGCGGATTGGCCTCGACCTTCCGAGACCTTCGACCTGCCGGACATGACGAGGCCACAGCTTCGTGGTTGGGGGGGGGGGGGGGGGGGGGGGGGGGGGGCAATATGGGAGTTTCCGGAAATGGGGGGACCCTAATATAGTACCCTAAATAGTAGGATCCTGATTATAAGGACCCCGAATTAAGGTACCCCTAAGTCTCGGGAACTCCCATATACTATTGTCTACTATCCTACATGGGTTTAGGGTTTAGGGTATAGTCTACTATCATACACTATAATATACTAAAGTTCACTATAACATAATGTAATATACTTTAGGCAGTTATACTATACTATTGTTTATTGTGATACAGTAGAGTATACTGTAGTCTACTATGATATGCTTTACGATACTTTAGTCTACTACAGTATACTAAAGCTTACTATCATTATATACTACAGTCTACTTTGATATGCTATACTGCACTAACATACTGGGTCGAAGGACTTAGGCTGTACGTGATAAGTAGACTTAGCAGTCTATGACTTATAATACTGTTGATGTTATAAAGCTTGCATTACCTTAAGGACCCTAAACTATAGGAATTATTGTACATTCCTTATAATGGGTCCTGCAGGATTTATATTATCAACCGTAAGTCTATGAAATCACTACTTGCCATGTCCTCCGACCCTGGAGGCCTAGGGTTCAGGACGTGAAAACGCTATGAGGTTCCAAGTCATGAGGGAAGTGGTCAAAATTTGGGTCCCTTTTGGGTACCCTAAATAGTAGGTTCCGTATAAAAACAAGGGCCCAAAAAGGGACCATAATTTTGACAACCACCCATGAGTCCTTGGAGCATTCGGGTTACGCCCAATCGCCATGCCGCCCCTACACCTAAACCCTGAACCCAGGCCCGTAACCCTCCGCGCCTAACCCCACCCCACAGGACTTGGCGGAATCGCTGAATCGCAGAAGGAGCTCACGTAGCCGGCAGTAGACTTGCCAAGCGGATGAAGCCACGCCTCCGGAAGGAATGCCTACCCCGTTTCGGGCTTGAGGGTCTAGAGTTTGAGGGTTTAGGGTTTGAGCGTCTAGGTTTTAGGGTTGAGGGTGAGTGTATCTTCTGGGTCCGATTTACAGTAAACTGTCTGGGAAAGAGACCCAGCCTCTAAAAAGATGCTCGAGGACCCCCAAATAGTCCTCGTAACAGAACGAGTCACCTTAGCATAGCAGAATGAGTAAACTGTGCGAACTTGGTGTGGTCATGCAATTGCCTTTGAAAACTGATGAACCGATATTGCAAGCCGTTCTTTGGCCTATGAACTCGCCCTGACCAGGCGTTGTGTGTAGCCGCTAGACTCCTGGTGCTTATGAGGGGTTGCTTGGGGCCGCACTTAAGAGCAAGTATCCTCTTGTTTTCGGGTTTAAGTTTTAGGGCAAGGCTTTTCTATAATGCACCTGGAAATCCTAACCCTAAGCGCAGTACCTTTATCATGTACACACCGAATTTAACTCTTGAGTTCTTTGGACCCTCAGGATAGTCTAAAGTTCAGGCGCTTCGGAGTGGTGAGTTCGCAGACGGCTTATAACAGGCTTGAGGCAACGGATTCAGGATTTCGGGTAATGTAGACCACCAGTGATTACTCCTCACCCATAAGGGCCAGTTTATCTGGCTTTGGGGCTTTATGCACTTGCAGGGTCAGGGAACTTAGTAAATGACTTTATCCGTCATAAGTGCCAAAAAAGAAATGAAAGTATAGTTACCGTAGATACACCGTATTCACTAAAACTCATGATCCTTTAAGCTATGTAGACCATCTCGTACACTGCAATCCTTCTATTCAGGCCCTTACACATGGTGGGCTACAAACCATGGTCTACCCCAAACCCTAAGCGCCTTAAAACAAGAAACCCTAAATGCTTTGGATTGGGAATGTCTTTGCTTCGTGCTCGATCCCTTTGTACGAAAGAAGAGATGCTTGCTCGGAGCAAAACGGTGCGCCTGCCAGCAGCCGACGGGTCCTATGTGTGGGGTATAGGGCTCAGGGTTGAAGGTGCTGGACCAGTTAGGGGCGGGCGGGCGGGGTTCCAGAAAAGCATTAGCTTCAGCCATAGCAACGGAACGTTGAGGAACCTCATGGCGCACGAAGCAATCGTGGTTCAGGGTTGTTTGGGGTTTGGGTAGCAGCGCAGAGCTTTGTGACAAAACAGAACCTTACACAACTAATTGGTCGTAGATCAGCAAAGGGATGTTGCTTGTTCAGAACTTTGAGCATGAGATTAAAAGATCCAAGAACTCACACCGAATGAATCCAAGTAAATCATCACATTACTTCTGTGCCAAGCCTCAGCCGAAACCCTAAACCCTAAACCTCAATTATTTGGTCTGTTGCACCCTTCGGGAAGGAGACTCAAGACATCCAGGGTGTGCTTCGTCAGAGTTGGGGAAGTCGAAGATGTTGCTGTGTCGACTACTCGCTGAATTCCCCTAAGGCTCCATGTGCCTAATAGTCTACACTTAGGCCTAGGGTTTAGAGTTTAGATACTGTAGGGTTTAGGGTTATAGGATAAAACTGTATACTCTAAACCCTAAACCCTAAACCCCACTCTGTAGGTACATGTTGCCTTAGAGTGCCCTGGATGGATTTGGCGTTGATGGTACCCAATGCCTAGACCCTGAAAAAGATGAAGCGTAAGCCGACACGGTTTAGGGTTTAGAGTTTAGGGTTTTAGGGTTTAGGGTTTTAGGATTTTGGGTTTAGGGTTTAGGGTTTTAGGGTTTTAGGGTTTGTGGGTTTAGGGTAGAGTTTAGGGTTTAGGGTTTTAGGGTTTTGGGTTTAGGGTTTAGGGGTTTAGGGTTTAGCTATAGTACACCTCAACAGTTGGAAACGGGATTGAGGACAAATATATAGTGCTGAGAACCCCTATGCATGAAAACTCGACAGGATTGAGGCTAATGTCAAAGGGGAAAAGGAGGCACCCTTAATGGGGACCCCTACTCTATAATGGGCTATATAATGGGTATATAACAGCTATATTAGGGGTATATACCTAGGGGTCCTTATTAAGGGTCCCTCCTTTCCCCTTTGCTATTGGGTTTTCAACTTTGGGGCTTCTACTGCAATATTGTCAACCCCGGTACCCCGGAAGCAAACCGTAAACACCCTACTTGGAGGGTCGGGGGAATTAGTAACCAGTTATTTTAGAGACTTATAAGTACCATAACCCCAATTAGGATCCCTTTTAGGGTACTTATATCTCTACTTATTACCTACTTACTAAGTCCCCCGACCCTCCAAGTAGAAGCCTGGATCCGAAGGTCCAAATTTTGAGTGCACCAGACTACCTAGGATGCCCAGTAGTACCCTTATTCCTTTTTTGTAATCCGAGGTTCCTTATACAGTTACCCAATACCAAAAAGAGAGGCCTTTTTATTCTTAGGTTGCTGCGTATCCTAGCTACCAGACTGTTTGACTGCCCTGACCTTAAAGCTTGCGAAGCCTAGAGAATACTTCTGAATTATGGGGAAGGCGGGGGGGGTCAAATCTATGTGGGAGTTTCTGAAAATGGGGGACCCTAGTATAGTACCCTGAATAGTAGGATCCTTATTATAAGCACCCCCCAAATAAGGTACCCCTAAGTTTCGGAAACTCCCAATTCTGGATAGTATGGTTCGGCTTTTTGGGGTGGGTAGAACCCTAAACTCCAAACCCTAAGCCGTACAGCCCTCAACCATACTTGGGAGTTTACCTTATTCTGGTGTCCTTATAATCAGGATCCTACTATTTAGGGTACTATATTAGGGTCCCGATCGTCAGAAACTCCCACTTGGAGGGCCAGGGGACTTAGTAAGATTATAAGTCTACTTGTTACCTACTGGCTAAGTCCTACGGTTGTTGATACAAATCCTGCATGACCCATGATAAGGATTATACCATAATTCCCATAGTGTTGGGTCCTTAAGGTAATGCAGGGTTTTTATCATCAACAGTACGACCCTCCCAGTACTTGGAGGATCATGGGACGTAGTAAGTAGGGTTATAAGTATTCTAATTCGGGTTATAAGTTGATTATATGTATAGTTACCCTAATTATAACCCTAGTTACTAAGTCCCATGACCCTTTAAGTAGGGTAGGGTTGAACGATTAGAGTAGGTTTGTTGTATAGTTTCGGGTCCTTAAGGTAATGCAGGGTTTTTATCATCAACAGTACGACCCTCCCAGTAGGAAGGGTAAACCCCAAACAGGTGAAACTGGAAGCTCCCAGGCGGTACGGCAGCAGGAAAACCACGAGGTACCAGCTGAAAACCAGTGCCCCGGCATATAGTGTTCTAGACTATATATAGTAGTAGAGGAGGTAACCTTTAACCCTTTTTGGAGTTCATTTTGTCAGGGTGCTGGACAGGTAGATAAGGTTTGAGGTTTGGGAATTAGGGTTTGGTGGCTTTAAGGTGGCATAGTTCGTTGGGCGTTGGGCTTTGTTATGTGTTGATGGCTGGCAAAGGGGGGCGGCGGGGGGTTGGGGTGGCTTTGGGGGAGTTGGGGCTTTGGGGTTTGGTCTTCAGGATAGTGGTAACTTCGTGGCTCTGGGGTACCCACAGGCTCCATGTGCCCTTTTAGTAGGTACTTAGGCCTTAAAATACCCATATTCGGACCCCTTTTAAGGCCTCAGTACCTACTACATGGGCACATGGAGTCTTAGGGGTAGTATCCGTTGCTGGTTGAGTACATGATGGCTACGATGAGGACCGCTCATGAGGCGCCGAAAGGGTAGAATACTCACAATCAATCGGTTTAGGGTTCAGGGTTTGGGGTTTAGGGTTTAGGGTTTGGGGTTTAGGATTTAGGTTTTAGGGTTTGGGGTTTAGGGTTTAGGGAATCAAGCAACCGTCCAACAAGCCGCCCGCACCTCTGAAGTATAACAGCTTCAGACCCACAACGCTTAACATCCCCGGAGCGTAAGATACCAAACTGACAGGCCACGAACTCCTAGCTTCCCGAGGACGCATGGAGTGTTATTAACCTTCAAAGGGGAAAAGGAGGGACCCTTAATGGGGACCCCTACCC